TATTTTCTATGTACGAGTGTATGTATACAATAGTTCAAGAATAGGACATGTTCACGATTTGCTCGTTAATTTTCCATGTGTGCCGAACAGTCTTGCGTCGATAGCATCATATTGAATTTGTCTCGCGTTGCCATCGGGTCAATTAAAGCGTGACATTGCAATGGTATTATTAAAGTATTTTTAATTATTTGATTTGCATATCGTAACTACAATGAATACATTAAGCCAAAGGGATACACGTTCTAACAGCAATATCAATGAAGATAAAAAACGATCGATTATAATTGATAAATAGAACAAAAATATAAGATAAAGAGATCGAACGCAAGGTAGAAGCTATATTGAATATAAAAATAAAACGATTTATGTAAAAAAATTGTAGTAAAAATTTCAATAAATGTTACTTGAACAAAACGTCACGAACAATTTCCCACATGCATTCGAGAAGATAAATTTCAAAGTTTGCATAATTTCATTGATACAGAAAAACAAGTCACTTATTTAATGACTTGCGCCAAAAAAGTGCATATAAAATTTTCTGCAGTTTCCCCAAAATAAAAAAATCGAGAATATTTTTGGAAACATTTAATACATATTGGTACAAACAAGAAGAACTAATAACGATTAGTACAATTAGTACAATAAAATTAACAATTCATTAACAATACATACATTGTTTTATATTTTCATTGTAAGAAATACAAATTCTTCATAAAAACTAAATACGAAGATTTTCTACTTTGATTTTACTTCATTTCTCAACAATTTCTCAATAATAATCGATAATCGCAAAAACAACCTAGATCTGTTCCTGCATTTTTCTGATATTTAACGAGTGTGTCTATCTCAGATGACTGCACTTCAATCGTATAATTTATTGTAAAGTGATAACAAACATTTGATTATATTGTAAAACTTCGTTCATTTTAATTCTGTCATATAAAATCAATAAATAAGCATTTCATTTGTCTTTCTTCGTTTCCAACCCAAACTGGGTTAAGTTGCTTTTGCACCCAATGCCTCGAATATTCTCCGTCACGAAACCGAAGAACGAAAACGTGTCGAAGGCCTGTTCGCATGTTTCTCGAAGAACAGCCTGTTCCGCCGATGGGAAATGATGATGTTCCGAACCTTTGATGTCCCGCATTAATTCCTCCTCACATAGTTGAATTCAACGGTTTGCGTAACGACGCAACGCGTCCAAAGAAGGTCATTCGAGAAGCAGAAAAAAAGGCGAAGCGTTTAACAGGGAGGGAATAATTCACTCAAAGCACATCGTAAAACCATTACCATCGGCTGTAAAAGTTCCTCTTGCTCATTGTAAAAACTCCACGAGGCATCCGACATCGGTGCATGGAACGTTCAGCAACCGGGATCTTGTTTCATTCTCGGTGAACTATTTCGATCAAAAATAACGAACAGTCTGGTTTACTTTCGGAATTGAAGTTTTAATGACGGAATAAGAACTATTTATAGCCTGCTACCAATTGTTGCAAACCTTAGCGACCGCGTGGTCAATTAAAAATCATTGCAAAGATCAATGGAAGATAATATCGATTATTCGTAGAACGCGGAGTTTGGCAAAATTTTATTCGGAGGATGGACAAGAAGAGATAAAGGCTAACGAATAATATTTAGCGACGAATAAATATTCAATCGAATAAAAATTTATCTAGATATAAATTTATCCGAATAAGATTTTATACGAATAAGAATTCATTCGTGTAGGAATTCATACGAAAAATAATCGATTTGAATAAAAATCATAGAATACAAAGCGTTTTTTTCATAGTTTACTGATTTATTTCTTCCATATGGCTCCTTTCAAATTTAGCATTGAAAAGTTTGTTACTTTTGGGTAGAATAATCATTTAATGAAAACTAAATGATCTTTCAACGGGTGTTAAAAAAAAGGCATCAGAAATTTTATAATTTTATAAGCAGTTTAAACTGAACCGATCCGGAATGTATTTGTACAATTATATTTTTATAAAATTACATATAAAGAGAAACAGTCAACAATTATTCGCATTATTATTCGAATAATTTTACAATCCCTATTCGAATAATTATTATACTGTAGAGGCTCCCTTATCCGAACATTTATTTTTACAATATTCTGGTATTCATTAT